TTTCTTTTTTTTAGGGAGGTATTTGCAAAAAATCTAATGAGTTTAGAATTAAAAATTTTACAAACCGGAAAGTGATCTTTGTTGATATTTAATTATTTGGAGTATATTATGGCTTACTAATAAAGATTGTCAACTTTTTATTATTTAGCTTCTATAACAAAACCTTCTTTTCAAATAAAAAAAATCTGAAAAAATTTTCTAATTTCCATACATTTTAATAATTAATATTTATATGAAGTATGGCATTAAAAAATCCAACATCTTATTGTTAAATTAAATTTCATCATTTAAACTCCTATTTAAATTCTAATTCTGAAAAGTCCTATAACAATCAATTATTGATGAAATAACTTTGTTCAGTTCTTTAAAAGTTTAATGGTACATTTAAGTAGTTAATTAACATAGGTAAATAATAACATGTAAATCTTAAATGTCCCATACTAAAAGCAAAATAAATCTTACACATATTTTTGTGCACTTTTCAACTCACAGCTACTTCATTTATGGACTTTAACTGGTGACAAAAAAAAAATGGCTCAAAAAAATATCAGCTCCAAAAACTGACAAATGTGCAGCAAAAGATTATGAAAACATGCAGTGGTTTCATTAAATTAACAACAATAAATAGAAAAATGTAACTAACGTATTACCAGTTTGTGCCATAAATTTAGCAGCATCAGCTTGTTCCTGAGGGACCCTTTTTTCATGAACAGATCGAGGTCGCTGACTTTTAATTGTATGATCTCCCATCATTCCAAATTCTAAAGACAGAATAAAGGTATATGAAAGCTTGTGTGTAGACATTTCTCACAAATTACATTACTGTCTCATGCAATATGTTCCTACACATACCTAGAAGTTACTGATTAAATTTACAATTCTAAATTTGCTAGGCTGATCTACTTGGAATATTTCTAAACTCAAGTAAAAAAAATCTATAAACAAGAACAAGTTTTCAAGAAACAATAATAACAGTCAATAGAATGACACATCAGGTTTTAAGTCAGCTTAATTAACAAATAGTGTACTCTTTTCTGATCATGTTTTCAAGCAATACATCGGAAAAAATACAACCACAGTGTTAACTGTTGTTTTTCAGAGACAGAATCCTGACTGTATAACAGCTGCTGCTTTGCTGAATAGTAATCACCCCACAAGTTTTTCAGCACTTTTCTTGAGGAATAAATAATCTTTAACCTAGCTTTCCTAAGGTAAGCATTCACTTAATATAGTGTTTTTCCAAAGATGAGGTTGGCCTTGGTGTCCTTAAAAGCTCATGGATACATGGTGGTTGAAGTAATTCTCATTCTCTCCTGCCCTGCCCCAAATAGTTGTTCATCCCTTTTCTAACCACATGTAAGACAATGTTTTTTCTTTTAAAAGTTATGTTTAAAAGAAATGGATGACTCCAGGTTTCTGTGATTTAATCCTTTAATGTTGTACCTCCTAGGAAAAGCAAAAAAAAAAAAAAAAAAAAAAAAAAAAAAAAAAAAAAAAAAAAAAAAGAAAAAAAAAATCTGGCCCTAAGTCAGTGACAATGGGGAAAGAAAAAATAAGTTGAACAAAAGATGGACTCCATAATATATTTTTGAAAAATTCATACTCTTGGAATTCTGCAAGAGTTCCATGCTTCTAGTACAGTTATTGTAAAATAATTTTAATGAAACAAATGCCTAATTTATGGAAGAGTTGTTGATTCTGGCTTAGAGAAGTGTGTAAGGGAAGGGGATTCCTGAAGGGTGAGGAGCAGGCAATCATGGTGTTTCTGTTACATTAAGACAATTCTTGGGCCCTTAAGACCAGAACTTTAATACATGACAAAGATGATTGAGTAAAATATGTTCTAATGATAGTGCCAGAACCAATGTCAAAATTTGGGAATGTTTAATTTTACCTTCTCCTATCAAAATTTAATCTTCTGCTAAAATATTACAACTCACTTTGTATAATTGAACACTGTATTGTGTAAGCACTAATTCTATTAACTTTTTAAATTTTATGGGAAGAGAAAAGACTAGCACATGTTTTTGTCCATCCCGGCAAATCCCCACATAATTATTAAAAGTATGGCACTTGACAGATTAATTTGTCAAAAATTCTTTCCCGATATTCTACCCAAGAGTACATCCCATGAGAAATCTGAGAAATCTAAATGTGTGTTTGTTTTTGTCAGTTTAGATAAAATCCAAGGCAGGAAATGGAAATTTTCATAAAATGTCAGTTGGCTTAATCTTGTAAAATCCATCATTATTTTCCATTGCTGCCAACATCCTCTCATTGCATTCATTTATGCAGGATGTGCTGCCTCAGCTATGTTTCATTATGCTAATAAGACATGTCTAATCACATGTCATTTAATGATTTGGGAAACTGACTACTTAGAAAGTTTGTATCTGGACTCTTATGTACTACCCAGTATTTTAAAGTATTATATGTAATTGAAAATTTTCTGAGTCTGAAACAGCAAAGGAAATTCAGTAGTAATTTTTATTAACAGTATATTTTACCTTCTGTGTGTGTGTGTGTGTGTGTGTGTGTGTGTGTGTGTGTCTACACTTAGAACATTTAAGTCAGAGTTTATGTATGCATAAATAAGCTGCAGGCTCTAATTGTCACACTAAGGTAGTTTTGGCACTGGGCAAAGGATAGAAAAGAAATTTTTCATAACTACAACTTCTTCTTTTTTTTTTAAACAACTTCTGTTAGTAAGTAACTTTATTACCTGTTCTAGTAGAAGAAATTCTTCTACTCAGTGGCAGCATGAGAAGAGCCTACACTCTATTTTCTGAGAAAAAAATAGTTTATGTGTTACAGGGACTATAATCTTGAAATCTGCAGTTCTGAGTTATGTTGGTGGACACTGCTGAAATAATTTTTAAAGTGTCATATTAAATTTTTAATTCTTTCTGGACTTTGAACACAAGTACTCATCTTTAAAAAGAGGTGTTCACATTTATGTGAACTATCTCATATGTGAATTAAATATCTCAAACATGAGTATAACACAAATTAAATTTCAGTATTCTTCACTGTCGTCACTTTTGCTCAATTCTACTCATCATCAATAATCAATGTTGTGTGAGCATTAGTGCTGATAGTTAACATTGGGATACTTAATCATGGACCACAGTATTTGAAAAGAAATTATTCAATCATCTATGAACGTGACTATATATTTTTCTGTAACTAAAAGTTTCAATTGAAATTTTTTATTATTTCTGTCAATATAATTTATCTGAAAAATAACTTCTAAAAAGTGAAAACTAATATGAGGGCTTGATATAACTAAATTCCCTATAAGATAGAAGACATACTCACAATTTATTTCTTTTTCTCAGGTGGAAAAACAACACTATGGTGGTATTTTTTGAATGTTCTAGATCTCTTGTTTCAGACCTAAAAGAATCTGAATTTGTAAGTGAATCACTTAAACTATTATCTAACCAAGTGAATTTCTTTTGCCAATGTTTATGTGCCAAAGAAATCTTTATTTTAGGGTTGTTGTCAATGGTAAGATTTAACAACAAATGTTATGGGTCCATCCATATCTCACAAAGGGATATTTTCAAAACATTCATGTTCTCTTTTGTGATGATTTTACCTTCTTCACTTCTAGTGAAAATAAAGGCCAGTTGGATCATTCAAACTTAGAAAAAAATTAGGCTATTAATTTTACTATTATTTTCTTATGTGGTGAATGTGGGTTGAGGTAAACCTTTATCATATTAGGCTCTCTGAATAATAAAAGTTCTTCATGGGTTATTGATTTATACTCATATGATTCTGAGTTGGCAAAGATAACATACTACATTAGTTACACAAGGAAAATAGCATAACCAAATAAAAAGATGATTTGCTTTGTATAAGCGATGGAAAGCAAGTTATGAAATCAAATGAAGTAATGTACAGCATAATATTGTGTATGTATATATGGTACATGGTTTATGAAAAACAGGGTTATTTCCTATATCTTTATATTGATGGTATCAATGAAGTGGTAGGTAAATAACTGTATGCATGTATAAAACTCAAATGACTGGAGATGACTTTCATATTTAGGCACATTTTCTCATACAATCTTTCAATGTGCTTCTTGATAAAAAGCAGGAGTGTCTGAAAGTAAGATATACTCAAAGCTACATGAAAGAACAGTTTTGAAAATTCGTTAAGAATACTTTTATGTCTTCTCTTTTCCCATCCAGAAATATGTAAGTAGATCATGAAGAAGCAAATAGATTTGAAAACTGCCTCTTGATAGTCAGTTGTCAGTTGTGAAGTTTTTTTCCTGGAAATCAAGGATTATAACAATGTGAAGTTGAAGTCATCAAGAAGTGAAAACACACACCATTTGCTATTTTATCATGTGTTTGTCAGTGTGCAGGCAAGCAGAGAGTTAGATTAGCTGATAAGTTATCACTGCAATCTATTTTGCAATATAAATAGTAACTTCACTTGCTAGCTAACTTTTCTTAGAATTTCTACAGAAACCACCCTAGCCCAGGCCATCACTGCTTCTCAACAAACGCTCAAAGTTATCTCTTACTTACATTCTATGATCAAAGTGCACCATTTTTTGTCATGGAAATCGTCAAACCACTGCATCATTTCTATCATCTTCCTCCATATGAAATATTTGTTCTTCTTCCATGCCTGAGGTAAAACCCTTCACCAAGTTCAACCCCAAAGGCGCTAACTCCATGAACTATTTCTTAATCAACTAATAAGTGGCCTCTGTCTTTTAAACTTCTATTTTATTTTGTATCAATAATGGACTTTCATCTTAATTTTCATATTGAATTCTTCCTACTAGATTATACACCTGTGAGAAGGAAAAATGACTTATGACTTTTAAAATCACCTCCTGATTTACACATAGCTGGGGTTCATTATTAATCTTATAAATACATTTCATATGAAGAGTTGTGTCTTTAAAATGCGAGTTTCTAGATGTCTGGAATCCTTTATTTAACCTGCTTGGTGAACAGTCCGATGGGAAAAAAGTAAAATTCTTCATGAAGTACTTGCAAATTAGTTATGTATGATCATGAAGTTCAGTATTTCTTTTGTCAGCAAGGAATATTATCCATAAATACATTCAGGTTCTTATTTAAATAATTGCAATGTTACTGTTTTAAAAAGAAACTTAAATCTCACTGACCTAAAACAAAACTTAATGCCTTAAAAACAATGGTTAATTTTTATTAATAACCATTTTTTAATTACTTACGTGTTAGGCACTAAAGTTACAAAGGCAAGTTAAAAGTAGTCTCTAATATTCTGAAGCTCATAGCCCTAGGAAATCCACTAAACATGGCTCAAACCTTTCAAATATGTAAAATTATTTATTTTAATCAAAATAGTAAGCTCCACTCAAAACCCACTTATTAGATTAACTTCCTAAATAATATATCACTCTTAACTAGAATGACTTGCTAACATGTTTCAAAAGAGAAAATACATCTTTTAAGCCATGCAACTGGACATTTGAAGTGACATTTCATTTGTCATCATAACAAGTAAGGATATTAAATGTATAACTTGTTGGCAGAATAAAGATTCTACCATCTGACTGGATTATGGTGGTATAGACAAATTCTGTTAAGAAGGAACAGACATTTTCTGAAATAAGATAATTCTATTTAATGCATTCTTAGTTCATATGTTTTCAGAAACATATTATTAAATGTGTTCATTCATTTCCATACTTACTGGAAATAGAGTCGGTACAACTATTTTGCTTGCACATTCTTTATGCATATTA